CAAAGGGTATGTCATGTCAAATTCTACATGATTGCTTGAAATACCACAAATCCAAATTTTATGCAAACCAAGAAAACCCTAGCATAATATTTTTTTCCAAAACTTTCTGATTCATGCACTCTTATTCTTCCCCAGAAAGAATTTCACAAACCACACATTACGTAAGACGTGTGACTCATGACTATAAAAGATTCTCCCATAATCATTTCCCCGATTTAGTCAATTCATTCGCTCATATCTCGCCGATTGTCATTCCCCATCTAATCAATCCTACATATGACTAATGCTATGCAAACACATCAACACGCAAACAAACACACCATTACAATAGAAATAACGCATTCAAGCACAAAAAAAGCTCCCGAAGCTCCAAAGTTCAAAAAATCAAATCAAAGTCGTAAATAAAGATGGAACTGACCTATTCGTCCGTTAAGGTGATTCTGATTTTGTTGTGCTTGTGCTGCAGCAGCATCAATTTCCGTTGGATTCTCACGTGCTTCCTCTTTGGGGGTGACTAGATTTGGTGTTACAGCACATGAATTTTGCTCGGAGGCTGCGGCCGCTGCTGATAGCAAGGAGAGTGGGTTATTATCGCCAGTACTTGCTACAAATAAAAAAACTAAAAACTAAAAAATGGAAACAAAATGGACAGATAAGAAATTTTCGCAAAAAAAAAGAGAAGAAAAGAATCAGAAACCCTACCTAAAAACGACAGCACTCCTTCCAGACCACCATTGAGCAACGCGTTGTCAGCCAGATGTGCGGCACCTTCAGCTCTGTTCTCCATCATACTTAGTGCGGTCTGATCAATAAGTCGTTGAGCCAACATCTACAGAAATCAAACAAAACTCAGTCTTGCATAGGAACCTACTTGACTTGTTTATACTAATAACAATAGCTCACCTCATCTGGCAGCGGTGTGTTAGGCTGACTCCTCGTTGCAGCTGTACGTTGTGGTCGTCTTCGGTAAAATTCACTGTCATCCACAGTCCAGACAGCTCCTTTTACATTCTGCTCGACACGTTGGAAACATTTGTGTAAGGAGAGGTTGTGTCGGACAGCATTCTGCAAAAATACTTTTGAAAATCATCCCAACTGCAATAAAGTATGAGGGCAAAGAAATCAGTGTGATAGCAAGATGAAACTGGTGACAGACTTTTGGAGATGTGTGTCGCAGCAAGTATACAACCTTATTATTTTCTCGAAAGTTTCAGAGCATAGCTAAATCGTCACATGGAAATCGTCAATCTTAAAACATTTCAAAGAATAGCCTGCTGCTAAAGGTCCCCCGTCGAATTCCCCACAACCATCGCAGCTTAAAGATCGGAATTGTTCAGGCAAACCTGGACAGCTAGGTTACTTTGTGAGCAGGATTGGAGATCCTTAACCAAACAACAGCCCAAGCAGCACCTTATTTGATGCATACATGACCGAGAAAATCAACTTCGAACCCTCGCCCAGTACCGTACTCGCTGACTACGCTTGGAAAGAATATGGTATTGGGCAAGAAAAGCTCACAGTTTGATTTCTCGGTCAGGAACTGATCACACGTCGCTTGGGCAACGAGTATCATAATCAAATTCCATATAAGAGACCAGATAGCTACATTAGGCAAAGCGTTGCCTCTAGGCAAGGTGACTATTTTCTGGAGTTTTGCTCCATGTTTTTTCTTCAGATTACAAAATCGGACCCTCTCTGTCAGAAACAGCATTCAAGGCTGATTCAATCATTTAATCCGTCACCCTCATTCAAGCCCTAACATCCTTATTTCGAACACCCCTTCTATTCGCCCCCATCTTTGCAACAATCAATAATCCCATCAACAGGTTGTCGAACAACATAAACAACACAATGCGAACACATCGC